AATAACTATGAAAAAATTTTTTTAATTTAGAAGAAGGAGGAGAAGGAGGAGGAAAAGAAGGAGGAAGAGGAGGAGAAGCAGAGGCCCTGGAGGCCAGCACGGCCCCCTGCTGCCCCAGAACCAGCTCTCAGGGCAGCACCACCCCCACCGTCCTGGAACCCAGGCTCAGAGGCCAGCACCACTCCACCCCAGGACCACTCCATGTGGAAGCTAGCCGCCCCCCAGACCACAACGTGCCAATCTGCACTGCAGAGGTGGGGGAGTAAATAAAGGCCATTGTTCTGAGCAGAAGTGAACAACAGAGGAAATGAAAATTAAAGCCCACTGGGAAAGTGAAGAAAATCTCTGCAATAAGGCACATTGGACCACCTTGGTTGGTAAGCTGGTGGGATCAGCACCTCCCATAGAAACCTGGACTCACTTCAGGGAAAGGGCAGCTGGAATCTGCAGTAGAACCTTGCAGAGTTCAATCCTGCAAGAGGTCAGGGACCTCAACTTGGACCTTGCAGCCAGAATCTCACTGAATCTCACTGGACTACAGCTAGCTTGCTGAGACTAAGACTTAAATCTGCACTCTGCTGCCCACTTTGTCTACGCACAACAGCACTGATATACCCTAAAAGAGGCCCTTTTTAATTTTTTTAAGTATTATACATATAAATTCTTTTTCTTTTCTTTTTCCTTCTCTCTCTCTTCTTGTTCTGCATTTCTCTCTCACTTTGTTCCTGTTTCTGTCCTATTTCAGATTGTTTTTCTCTTTCCTTTTCTCAATTGTCTTTTTTTTTTGGACCATAACAAGACTTTACTATGGCAAATTATCTATTCTTATAGGAAAGTGAATACACATTCTAGCGGCCCTATTGCTGTTAACTTGTTCTGTTCTTGCCTTTGTTCACTCTGTCTTTTTCTGTTATCTCCAACAGTTTCCCAAAATTTGTATGATCTGTGTCCTCTAGCCTCACTTCTAACCTTTTCCTCTCCTTCTATCACTCTGTCCCTCCCTCCCCAACTCCCCAAGTCCTCATCCTGAAGGGTAAATTTGCTATATTGAAGTGTTTACTTACTACAAACATATTTTGGGCTGGTCCTTGATTTTGACCTAGCTCACACAGTTAAAGGCGACAGATTAATAGCTACTACAAGAAGCAGAGGTCCTACCTGAGCAGAAACCAAGAAATAAATATGCAGCACTTGTAGGCTGGCCAAAACTCAGGTGCAACAGAAAAGCAAGAACACTGACGCTCCTTCCTCCCTCTGCCCCTTTGCCTGGATAGTTCTCATCCAACACATCCTAGAACACTCTCTCTTGCACCAGGAAGCCATCCCTAATGACCTCCACCCACATTTCTCACTCTTTTGTTGATCACATACTGTCACGACCACCACTGTTCAGGTGGAAACTGAACAATGCTGCCTTGCACTTTTCCTCAACATTGCATGTGCTTGTCCAGGGGGGCTCCCTAAGAGTGGACTGTCAGGCTTGCCTCCCATCTCATGTTGCTTCTAAAACAGCTTTAACCTCTCCCTAAGTCTCATTTTTTCTCCATTTGCATATACAAGTGCCCCTTGGCAGTTTCAATGGATCCATTCACAACTGGGCAATCAATACACTGTAATTTTTGATAGTCAGATATATACCAAGCAAACACTAGGGTGGAGAGCTGTCTATCCATCAGTCTAGTCTCTACCTATGTCTGTTATTCAGGTATATTCTTGTCCTCATTCTAAGAACAACACTTAAGAACAGGGACAATTATTTTTCGAACCAGGACCAAATATTAAAGAGTTAGATCAAAAACTGTAAAGTGCCTATGATCTTACCCTACTGGTAAGCTAGCAAGTTAGCCTGACACCATTTTATATGCAAATAGTGACAGAATTCATAAAACTTCTGGGTCCAAGATCACTTTCTGCAAAAGAAGCAGCCAGAGCACCAGTTTCTTAAGCCCTGGTTTCTGCAGGGCAGGATGGTGAGGATTCTGGTGCCTGTACACCCAGTGTGGTGCATTACAAGAAGAGAACCTTGATGAGATGGAGCCTGAATTTAATAGGATGCTGGTAACTGCAAGAGAGAGACACAGAAACAGACAGAGACAGAGACGGAGAAATTGAGAGACAGAGAGAGAATTTTATCCTGGAATGGATGCAAACCTTTCCAGGTTAAAGAATGAAGTTTACCTGTTCTCTAATGTCTCCAAAGAGGGAGACATACTAAGCTTCACCATTTTTGTCTTCCAACACTGTTTGATTTCAAAATGCTTGAACAGATGGTCTGAGCAACATAGGAATGCCACTGGGAATTATCCCCAGATGTGTCCATGATGACTCTTTAGTGGAATTCCTTGTTCTAGGACCCATATCACCTTCCACAAGGGCTGCCCTTTGGAAGTAGTAATGACCACCACCCTCATTTTTCAGTACTATGAACAATGGCAGATTTTTTACATCCAATACCTGTAATCCCTGCAACAACCCAGTAGCGTAAGTATTATGATTTCTACATCAGAGATGTCGAGTTGGACACAAGTTTCTTGCTATCAGAAGTAGAGGCAGGATTCCTTACTAGGTCAGCCTGACTACAAAACCTGTACTTCTGCTCTTATATCCCTGAGCATCTGCTTGGGTCCAAGAAGAGGTCAGACTCCTCTCTACCTCTGCAGAAAGAGTTAAGCAGCTACCTTGCTTACTATTAATTAAGAGTAAGCCATTATTTAGCCAGACCCTTCCTAGCAAGATGGCTTTTTAAGAAATGCAATTAAGAGCTGAGATTTTATAAGCAGATCCAATTTAACGTGGAGTGGGACAAGATAAAGGGAACAAGCTCATTAGCTTAAAACGCCATGCTACTTTGCTACAAAAAGGAGTTTTTAAAAATCTGAGTGTCTTAAGAAAATTAAAAAACATTTAAATAGCTTTCTATATGCATACTAAATACAACCAAAATGTTACAGCCACATATGCCCAAGCTTTGTATGATAATGTCATTACCTTTGCAGGCACCAAGCAGATGGGAATGGGTCAAAAGGCAACAGTTGGGGAGCATTGGTCCCCAGAAGTGTTATCACAACCTGTTCTGCTTGCATGATTCCTATCCTTGCCAACCCACCTCACCAGCCCAAGCAACTTGGACTCCAGCCAAACTGGCTTGCAAAGAAATGCCTAAAAGTATTTGTTTTATGATTATTGTTTTTAAATCCCTACTATCCAACCAGTATTTCCCTTTTGAGGGTCAAAACCATTAGTGGCACCTGCCGAGCACTTCATTAGGGCTTATCTGAAGACATTAGACATCTGCCAGGTTGGAAGACAGAGCTGCCCACGTGAAAAGGACAATAGCCGTGGCCCAGCCATGAGGTTCCGCTCATTCCAGCTCATTGTCATTGAAGATCCATCAATTTGGGCTGCTGCTCTGGTTGAAAGTTGAACAATGAGTGTGTTGTCTGTACTGTTCTACCACAAACCAAATCCTCTTATAGACCTATTCACAATAGGCCTGAGTTAAATGAAGATGGAAGGGAACACTAGATTCATAGTATGCTTTTACCAACCAAGGTGCCAGTCACACATACCACAGATGGCTCAAAATACACAGTGCTGACACTCATTTCGCAAGTCCTTGCCTTTCCTCCATGAAGGAGTTCCTCTGTCTCTCCTCGGGGAAGTTAAAGACCGGCTTGGTCTCCAGTTTGGACACATGTCCCCCAAAGAGCCATGTCAGAAGCTTGGTGCTCAGTGCTACAAGGTGATAAATCTTTAGGAGGTGGGCCCTAGGGGAAGGAAGTGAGGTCATTGGAAGTGTACCTGACAAAGGGATACTGGGACCTCAGCTCTTTCTTGTCTCTCCGCTTCTATGCCACCACCAGTCTAAAGCAACAGAGCCAAAAGACTAGGGCTGGAAATCTCTGGAAGTGTGAGACAAAACAAAACTTCCCTCTTCCTAAGTTGACTACCTCACAAATCTGTTATGGTGATAGAATGCTAACTAATGCACTTATCCTGGGCTATAAATTAAATCTGAAATGTCCTCCAAAGGCTCATGTATTGAAATCTTGGTTCCCAGGTAATGGCACTTTTGACAGGTAGTGGAGATTCTAGGAGGGGGCTGAGCTGGAGGAAGTAGATCAGAGTATGGGCCTGTGAAGAGTATATTTTGTCCTTGGCCTCTGGTCCTTTTCTCCCCTTTCCAGCTGCATGAAGTGGGCAATTCTGCTTGCCTATCCACTTGCACCATGATAGACTCTTTCACCATAAGCCCAGAAAATACAGAGCTAAGTGACTGTGGGTTGAAACCTCTAAAACTATGAACCAAGGTAAACTTTCTTCTTTCAAGTTGTTTTTCTCAGGCATTTTGTTACAGTAAGGAAACGCAGACTAACACACCCTGTCTTCTTCATGTTTCTATTTTTTCCTTTGTTTTAGTTAGAAAGCAACTAATTGAGCTGGAACAGCACATAGAAAATGGTCAAGTTCTTTTTCAGAGGCAACCCCTAGCTCTTTGTGATAGTTACCCCACTCCCTGCTTAACTATTTCATTCATTCCTGAAACTTCTGACACTAAGTAAAAAGCCATTATGAACAAAATATTTTCACTGATTTTTATAGAAATTTTTTCAATTGTTGCACATAAAAAAAGCATATTCACTGAACCCGGGAAACAAATTTAAGTGATTTAAAGAAAACTTTAAAGTAAACAAATACCATGTGTCCATGATGTACAACACAGTGACAAAGGAAGTAAAATTTGTTAGAGGTGAGGCTGATGGAGGAGGATTACCAGAATTCACCCTCTAGAAGGTAGGAGAGCATGCCAACCTTTACACTGGCATTTCATATCAAAATCAGGCAAGCTTGATGATGTTTTATTTTCCTTAAGATTCAGACTTAAAGAATCTCCTGATGTGGAAGATATGTCTGACAAAAATTTGTTGATTGAAGGAAAAAGAGGATTTCAAAACATGGGGAATTGCACATGTATTTTGCAGAGATGGAGAAATCCTTACCTCTTTATCTCTCTCATGTGGTGCAAGAATACACACAAATCTGTCAGTTTATCCATAGAAGCACAAACTCAGTGTTCCACATGATACTCTGTTGTCCAGCCCGTTGATGTGTGTTTCTGTCCACAGTTGTAGTGCCAGAACATCACTTTGTGTTTATATCTTCTGTTTGGGAGATGAAAAATCATTATGCTAGGGGATGAGTAATTGACAAAATGCAACATCATTTCAGGTGGCAAAAGTCCTTAAGGCTGTAGCATAAGGTCAGCTGTCCTGTGAAGAGCAGCTACCAAACCTAGCCCAAAGATGGGCAGTTATAGGGTCTCACATAGAAACTGGACTTGCCATTTTCTGCCTTACTCCTCCCTTCCTCTCCTTTTATTACAAAGTGCACAGAACCGTGCTAGGACCAGAGAGCTGCTCAACGGCTGAAAGTTCTTGTTTACGGAATGGCATGCTCACTCTCACAGTAAGGAACCCACATGCATCCTAAAATTTCTGAGTCAGTGGTTCTCAGTGTGATCTCTAGACCAGAAGGAGCAAGCACTAGGAACTTGTTAGAAACATAGATTCAGGGGGCTCATCCCAGATGTTCTGAACCAGAAAGTCACAAGGACAGGCCCAGAAATTCATGTTATAACAGAGGCTCTCCAAGCAATGCTGAGAATCACTGCTCCAAGCAACAAGAAGGCATTTAATCCAAAATTCCTGCTGAGATCTTAGGAATTCAAATTTACCTACAGGCACTCAACCCAAAGGCCCCTATAACACAGATCCTGTGCAAGTCTTAGACTTGCTGGCTGGTTTATTTAGTAATCTCTCAAAAGTGCTGATTGTCCAGTGATTTGCTACCAGCTTGAGGTTTAACATAAGGGGATGGATAATAATCCCTTACTGTATTATGTGAACAGAGAAATGTATGAGACTTGAAAATATGATATTATATTAATTATATTAAACTGCTATGTGGCATAACAGACTGCTCATCCAGGTCACAAAAGCATATCGCTTTCATCTCTGTATCCTAACAGTACAGCACAAGTATTAATCTGGCCCAGGATACATGAAAACAATTAAGATTTCAAAAAGCGGAATAAGTGATTTGAAGTAGTTTGTATTCTTGAAGTACATATGAACTTATGCCAATACACATCAGTGACCATTGATTCCAGCCCATTCTAGAATGAAATTTCAGTGGCACTAAAGAAAAACATATGGTTCCCTCACTGTGATGTGGTATTGTGTAGACATAACCTAAATTTAAAAGCCTCTTAAAATAGAAATCTTGACTCCATCTGTCTCTTAAAAAAAGAAAAACTCATAATTGCTTATAAACATGTTCACTTACCATTTTCTCAAATGTTTACCAGCTGCTGGGGGGTGGAGGACAGAAGGGCAGGAGGAGACATGGATAATTAATAAAAGTCACTATTCTACCTTGCTTTCAAATGTTACCAGTGCTTAAAATGTCAAAAGTCTGTCCCACATTCCTCTAATGATTCGCCCATATAGCATGTCATAACTAAATCCAAGTCCACGTAGCATCTCGGGAGAATTCTAAAGAATGAGCAAGCTCAACCTGTCTACCGCTTTTGAACAACTTTTGGAAGACTTGACAGAGCATGAGCCATTTGCAGGGAGAACTCAAAAACTGGAGCACAGTACGTGGAAAATATCTACATCTTAACACTGAACTCGCACTAACTTCTTTTCAGGACTAGGAAACAAACCAGCAGGAAGGTGGACCTGGTGATACATCTTCTTCTGTATAGATATGTCACTGGTTACACCTACAGATATCCCAACAGGCACACTTGCAGGTACACACCAGGTGCTGCAGCATCTTGTAGCTCCTAGCGGACACCTGACCTTACTGATGCTGTACCCTGCCCTAACACTGGTTCTCAGAGATAGCAGAAGGACTTCTCTTCAAATCTCACAAAACATGCGTACTCCCTCCTGGCCCACAAATGTACAGCAGGATGATACTCAGGTGGTACTGGCACTGCACACCAGCCATCCTTTGGCAGATTCTGATCCAAGGGCCAGGCTGGCCCTATGCGATGAGGCTGCTGTTCTCCTAGACACCCACACTGAGTACCTGTATCTTGAGCACCTGCAGCAGAGGGCAGGGCCCCCCTGTCCAGGGATTTTTCTGCAACCACATCTGGAGGCTGTGTTTAGTGCACAACTCTATGAGGACAACAAAAACTTTTTGAAAATATCTGAATAACTACCACCTAGAACAAGAGTATGTTGGAGAGATAACTTCACCCTGAGGATAAGGCACTCTGTGAAAGACCATCACAGGGGTCACAGGATAAGTTTCAGTTTCTTCCTCTTAACGGAAAAGTAATTATCTCACTGAATCCATCCAAGCACCCTGTGATCTGCTGGAACTACACCTATTTTATAATAAATAAGTAGAGGCCCAGAGAGTTCACCAAACTCACCCAAGATTAGCTATGTAGCCAATCGCTGCTAATGTAGCCATGTGCTCTGCTTTACTGTAGCACTGAATATAACAGCAAAAAGTCAGAAGCCACCCCAAGTCCATCCACAGAAAAATGATCAAATTATTCTGCCCCACTATGATGAAGCTCAACAAGGAAGTGTTGATCTGGTTGTGCTGAGCAAATTAAATTCAAACAGGAGTCACCAAACATTTTCTATTCAAGTCTACATAAAGCTGGGCATGGTGGCACGTGCCTGCAGTTCTAGCTACTAGGGAGGCTGGGGCAAGAAAATTGCTTGAGCCCAGGGGATCAGGAGTAGCCGGGGCAACACAGCAAAATTCCATTTCTTTCAAAAAGTTGTAATCCCAACATTCTGGGTGACTGAGGCAGAAGGGGTGCGAGTTCAATAACAGCCTGGGCAATTTAGTGGCTTAGTGAGACTCTGTCTCAAAAATAAAAAAGTTTTAAATGATGGAGCTGGAGTTTCATGTGAAGGCTCTGGGTTCGATCCCCAGTACTGAAAAAAAAAAAGATAATATTTTAGTCTCTGCAGATCATAAAATCTCTGTCATGAGTTATTTAACTCTGCCACCACAGGGCAAAAGAAGTTGCCACGGGCAGTGTGTGAGCAAAGAAACGTGGTTGTGTTTCAATAAAGTTTTATTTACAAAAGCAGGTTTGAGGCTGGATTTGGCCTATACTGCTATGATTTACCAAAGCAGTATAGTTTGTTTTTTTCCTTTTTTTTTCTTTTAAAGAAATTTTCAGATCAAAGTTGAAGAACAAAATTATCCTACATACATGAAAACAACATGATATGTAAATACATGCTTCTAGAAAGTATTGAAAGATTATAAAAAATAATAAAATCATGAGGCCATCTTCAAATAGCTTGAAGAATTTGGACAAGTGTATTTTTTTAACGCATGATCTCTAGTCCCCTTCAACCACCAGCTGGATAGCAACTCTAACATATTATGCTTCTAAGAAAGGAATTAAGAATCTCCCACCCCGTACAAAAGAGCAATTGGTGGGCAACAAAATCTCAGCATCCTCATCCAGCATCCAATGGCTAAGACAACCTAAATGTGGACCAGAGGCAACCACATGCTGCCAAAGCAAGGACTTTGGTAGCTGGTCTTTGCTCTCAAAGATTTCATAAGAAAAACCAAGAATTTTTTTTAAAAAGAGGAGGAAGTCATTCATTTGAAGTATTAATTAAAATGCAAATTACTCCAAGATGGGTTGACTTTAAAACACTTGCTCTGTAGTTTCTATGAATATAAAGTATATGACAGGCTTCTGTTTACAGTGATGTGCCCACTCGCTCAAGGCTGAAAAGTTGCTTGACTTGAAAATAAGCAAGGAGAGGAATAAGTGCCATGCCTGTAAGCAGAGCCTTTAGCAAGGTCTGCTGGGCCTTTTAGACCCAAGAGAAGGGGCTGGGGAACCTGTCAGCCTCCTGCAGGCTCCTGTGAGGGTGTGGATCTTTCTGCACTGGTGGAAGGGAGCCAAGAGACCAGAGTCATCACACAGCCTTTTACCAGCAGAGTAACTGGTTCCTGACCCTTTCCTTCTTGAGTTATAGGAAAGCAGCTGAGGACAAACATGAACCTCACAAACAGCTGTTTCCCTGTGTTTTCTGTTTGCCTTCCCCTCAGTTTAGAAAGAGATGTTTTCTGTTCTCATTGTCTCCCTTGGGCACCTTCCTGCAGGGTTTGCTTGTCTCTCCTATGGGAAACCAGCTCCCCTGGCTCCTGGATCCTGGATCTCTCTGCCTCTGATTTCAAACTCCTCTCCTCAATGTTGTTCAGAAAAATTCCACCCTTCCCACTTCCGACCTCCACAGTTGCCCACTGTGCTCATCTCAAGAGGACCAACCCAATGGAAGACATTTACCTACCATCTTTTATTACAAACCACATCTCACACCAATCCCTACCCCAAACAACCCTCCAAAACATCATATTTAACACAAAGGATACGAGGTCAGGAAGAACTCAGGTGAAAGAAGTTGAGCACACTTTCCCCCATCTTCCCTTCAGAATGACCATGAGAACAGAGAGAAAATGAATAAGAAAAACACTGCTTCTCTCTTTCACCTTGCTCCTAAAAGACCATTTCAGCTTTGGCTGCTGAAGAAAGGCTCACATGGCCCCTGAGAGCTGCCTGACAGTCACTGAGAGGGGCTGTCTTATGCCAGAGATAATGGATCCACACTGTGTGTGTGATTTGTAGGGGTCAACTGTATCTCAAGGGAGGGCAAATCTTCAGCATGAAAGCTATCCTGCCAAGAAGCAAGTACCCACCGGTGGTGTACTTCACGCCATAGTGAGGTGTTCCCCGTGGTCTGATGACCACATGTCCTGCTCTCTTCATGGAAGGTCTAGATTAGATGAACGTCTGGCTTCTGCCACAGAAATCATCATTAGCTCAGCCTTCAGAGGGGAGAGGCTTCACAAACATCGCTTGTGTGAAGGTGTACTTCACTAGCCTACTGTGACTTCCTGTCTTTGCGGCCCTCTCCGTCTAACCAAGTAAACATTTAATTGCCCAACTTTAATGATTGAAAATATATCTCACATTACTAACATTGGTTTGATTGAAAGAAAAGCAATTTTTTTCACAAGTGCTGTCCATACTCTTAATTTGCTAGCAAATTTTTCATTCAAAAGAACATAAATGCTGACAGAATGGTCTCAAAAAGTT